CAGCCAGCATGCTGGCTGGGGAATTCTGGGAGTTGAAGTCCACTCATCTTAAAGTTGCCAAGGTTGAGAAACACTAGGCTAGATTACCAAGCTAACCAAGAACCCAACTAGTCTCTCCACTGGCTTGTTGAGAAAATAACCACTCTGGCGAACAGCGGAGGGCAAATATGGACTCTGCTAAGCCCCTGACTGCATCTTTTTCTATTTCCCCATATAAATTCACAGGAGGAATGCCACCCTTGTGATGGGGGCATTTTCTTTGACAAGGGAGAAATTTGTAACCAGTAGCATCTTGCTGACCTTGGCTGATCCCCCCTCCACAAAAAAAGAGTTAAAACTGGTTCCTTTGGGAAGGGGGATCACCGGGGAACCCCTGTTCTGTAGGCTAGATTGGTACGTTGAAAAAAAAAATCAAATCAAAGCCACATAGTCACCACAACTCAAGGGAGTCTTAGGATGAAAACTTCTCAAAAGGGCATACAATGGGAATGTATATGACGGGAACTTTATCCTAGAGTTCCTATAGGGCAGTGTTTCTCAACCTCAGCAACTTTAAGATGGGTGGACTTCAACTCCCAGAATTCCATAGGGAATCAATACAAAGGTGACAAAATTAAGCAGAGATCTTATTCTGTTGCCCTTCGAGCTTGATATAATTTCAAGTCTTCCTTTTGGTCCTGATCTTGATAAAACTTGATTGAGCTAAGCCACACAATGGCTGGGTTCACATCATATGCTAAATCAAGGTTAAGCAAACAGAGTGGCTGTGTTCACATTACATGCTGTACCCAAACAAAGGAAACGGAGCATGGTTTACTGTAATGGTTTACTGTAACGTTGAACCACAATTCCAGTTTGGCTAGTCTAACAGGTGCAAACCCAGCCAGTCTCTAAGGATGCTTGTAGCCAATATTCACATGCTTCCAAGGAAGGTCTAAAAAAATTCATTAAAACTGCAACAAAATCAGAGGGAGATAAATTTTGTAACAAGTCTTATGTTGTGGAGTTTTGCTTCAGGATCACATCAGCCTTGTGACATTGCTCACATTATTGTGCAAAGTGCAATACACACCAACCATACGTGTTTGTCACTCTTCATCTTAATGTGAAATTCCGTTTTAACGAGCAATTAAAGCAATTTAACGAGTCTTCCTGCATTCAGTCTACTCATTATCCTTTCACCTCAGATCTTCCATCTTTCCTAAGTTGCCGTGGGTCATTCTGAATTAATGCTTCAAATTTCCTTTCTGGATTCCATCTCCTCTCCTCTCCTCTCCTCTCCTCTCCTCTCCTCTCCTCTCTGTCCCATCATCCACATTAACTCTCCTCCCTCCCTCCTTCCCTTCCCCTTTTCCTCCCTCCCTTCCTTCCTTCCCTCCCTCCTTTTCCTTCCTTCCCCCTCTTCCTTCCCCCTCTTCCTTCCCCCTCTTCCTTCCTTCCTTCCTTCCTTCCTTCCTTCCTTCCTTCCTTCCTTCCTT